CACTCACCTCGGGCAGGATGCGGCCCCCGGGCATGCTGGAGGGCGGGCCCCCGATCAGGGACACCACTCCATTGCAATCCACCGTGCTGTTCCTCTTGACGCTGCGGCGCAGGGCGGGGAAGATGCGCGAGGAGCGGCTGCCCTGGCTGTAGCCGCTGTAGCCGCTGTAGCTGCTGCGCCGGTCACGGCCRCGGATGGGGATGAACAGAGAGTCCCTCCTGCCCTCGCTCTCCTCCACCGTGCTGTGCTCGTCATCAGCAAACTCGTTCTCTGACACCGGGTCACGGAAACGGCTCTTGTAGCTGAAAATGCTGCTCTTGCTGTTGTGGCGCGACAGGAAAGGGGAGCCCGGGATGCTGAGGAGAGACTGGGGAGAGCGGGGAACAGAGTGAGAAGAGAAAGAATGGGTGGAGAAGGGGAAGAACAGGGGGAGAAGGGGAGGAGTGGGGTGAGAAGGGGAAGAATGCAGGGAGAAGGGGAAAAGTGGAATGAGAAGGAGAAGAACAGGGAGAGAAGGGGAAGAACAGGGGGAGAAGGGTGGACACAAAGCACTGCTGGAGTGGGTTTGGAGAATCACGGAATGGTTTGGGTTGGGAGTGACCTTAAAGATTGTCCAGTGCCACCTCATGGGCAGGGACACCTCCCACTGTCCCAGGGTGCTCCCAGCCCTGTCCAGCCTGGCCTTGGGCACTGCCAAGGGCACCCTGTGCCAGCCCCTCAGCACCCTCCCAGGGAGGAATTCCTTCCCAATGTCCCATCTAACCCTGCCCTTTGGCAGTTTGGAGCCATTTCCCCTCATCCTGGCACTCATCCCCTGTAAATGGGGTTTCTCTCCATTTCTCTCCATCCAACAATTCCTGCCAGAGAATGTCCTAATCCTGGGCCCTGAGTGTTCTCCTGCCCCGCCACGGTTCAGGACAGGAGGCAAATCCCTTGAGGTGCCAACAGGAATCCAAATCCTGACCTCAAACCACCACAACCATCAGTGAAGGTGCAGAAAATTACCTGGTTCATGATGGAAAACTTCCTCCCCAGCCTGTTATCCGGCAACCTGAACGCTTTCCTCCTCATGCCATCCTCAGACTCCGACTTGAACACCTTCTCAGTGTCGCACTTCTCGTCCCCCTCCGACAGCTCCTTGTCCTTGCGCTTTTTCCTCCTGTTCCGACGCTCCTTGGCGCTCTTGGAGCTGAGTTTGGAGATCTCTGAGGAGCTCCGGGACATCCTCCCCCCACCATCATCCTCCACTGCATCCTCAGAGACCGTCCCGGCCGAGGTGACCATGGCAGCAGCCTGACAAGGACAAAGAAATCTCATCTTTCCAGCATTCATCTCCATTTTCTGATTTAAGAAAGAGTTTGGTTTAATGCACCTGAATAAAAGATTTTGGGGTGGGACTGAGATGTTTTTTTCTCTCCTTGGAAGGAACTTTCAGCTGGGATTTGTTAAAATTTTTGTGCAGGCAGCAAAATCATCTCTGGGCAATTCGGGCCAGGACCTCACCACCCTCACAGAGAGGAATTTCATTTTATTTTTTCTCACCTGTGCTTCCTCCTGTTGCTTTTTCAGTTGTTCCAACATGGCTTTGAATTCTGCCTCCTTCTGCTCGGCCTCCTCCAGAGTTGCCTGGTTCTGCTCCTCRTAGGCCATGGCCACCACAGCCAAAATCAGATTCACCAGGTAGAAGGATCCCACAAAAATCACCAGCACAAAGAAAATCATGTAGGTTTTTCCTGCCGCTCGTAAAGTCTGGAAAAGAACGGAGGAGGGATTAGGAAAGGGGAAAGGAAGTGATTTCAGGGATGAAAGTTTTCAGCAATCCCAAATTTCCTGACCTGAATGTTTCTAAGGAAATCCAGCAGTGCTGAAGATTTCCCTCAGAGCTTTGAGCCACTGCACATTTCCTGTCACAAAAGGTGCCATCCACATCCCTCCCTTAAGGGAACCCCAACGGATGGAAACGGAAAAGGATTCACAGCATGGCAGAGGGTGAAACCCAGGCTCAGACTGCCTTAAAACACACCAAACTGAGAAAAAGCTGCTCCAGAGAGGTCCCCAAAGCACCCTCAGGTCACAGGAAAACTCTGTGCCCTCCAAAGAGCCCTCTGTGAGCAGAGCTGAACGGGCACAGCCCCTGCAGGCAGCGCTCAGGCACCTCCTGGATTAATTCACAGCTCAGCTGGACCCTGCAGCCCTTCAAATCCAACACCTGCTGACAGCTCATGTGCCCTTCCTGCCCCAAAAAAACCTCACTGTGCAGCTTTAGCTGTAAAGTTAATTAAAGTGATTCCTCTCTTTTAAAAAGAGGAAATGCAAGAAAGTTTCTCACGTTTCTGTCTCGTGTTTCATCCCCAAATTCTCACCGAAGCCAAGCGTTTACTCACTAATTGCTACAATTTCTCCCAAAAGCCCAAATTCTCATTATGAAACACCAAAGCTGAGCGTTTACTCACTAATTGATACAAGTTCTCCCAAAAGTCCTGAGTCATAAGGCGAAACAGAGCCAGGAAAGCCCAGCTGAAGGTGTCGAAGCTCGTGTAGCCGTAGTTGGGGTTGCGTCCTGCCTTCATACACGTGTATCCCTCTGGACATTGGCTGGGGAGAAACAACAGCTGGGTCAGGGCTCTCCATGCTCCAAACCCTCCCAAAAAACAGCATTTGAGCCAAATCAGGAGAGGATTTCAGGAAAACCCCGTGGAAATGAGATGCTGCTGAGCCCAGAGCGGGAGCTTCGCCCAGAAGAGTTGGAAAACCAACTGGAAAACCAAGTGGAGACAACAATTCCCATTTCTGAGCTCCATCCACCCTTCCCTGCTGATCCTGAAGATCAAATTCAGAGGGAAATAAAGCCACGGGCAGCCTTTGTTAACCTGACAGGGAAAATGTCACTTACACTGCATCAGCACTGGGGTCATAATTCAATAAGAAATGGGAAATCTGGTGAAATCACAGCAGAACAACAGAGGAACAGACAGGAAATGTTCCAGAGGTTTTGCCAGCACAAGCCAACATCAGTGATTAATTGGTTGTTAATTGATTGTTAATTGATTAATTGTTAATTGAAGCTCAGCACTCACCCTGCATCCGAGCTGTTACCGCAGAGCAAAGGGTCGGGGGCGCCAGGAATGATGTAAAAATTTGCTGAAGGTGAAAAAGAAGAGATTTCCTTCACACACACGTGGAGTTAGAGGATTTAGTAGACTGTAAAAACCTTCACTGAAAGAGCCCTCTGAATTCACTGCTGAGAAATTTATCAGTAAAATTTATCAGTTAAAATTTATCACAGATTTTGCACAAAATATTCAGCTGAAAGAGTACAGCCAAACCCTTCTAAATGATGAACTCAGCTAGGAACATCTCAGCAGGGCTGGATTAAAGAAGAAAAACCTGAAAAACTTCTGCACAAGGGTTTTTTTACTGTGAAAACCAGACACAACACAGCACGAGCAACGCTGGAACTCTTGGGGTGTGCACGGAGCCAAATCAGGAGGTTTTAGGGAGTGCAGAAACACCGAAATACCCACACATATTGTTGGTGTACTCCTCCCAGTCGAAGCCCCTGGAGCCATTATCCAAGAAGGTCTCGTTGACATTCACTGGCCAAATCACACATTTATTCCTCAGGTTGCCCATGAAGAGTTGGAGCCCGATGAGGGCAAAGACACTGAGACAGAAAACTGTCAGGATCATCACATCCGACAGCTTCTTCACCGACTGGATCAGGGCACCCACGATGGTCTTCAGGCCTGGGGGGGAGGAAACGAGAGCAGAAATCATCCCTGGAGCAGGAAAACAGCCTGAAAATGTGAATTATTGCAGTGCTTTGGAACAGCTCTAAAGTTGTGGGAATAAATGATGAGGGAGCCTGGGAACAACACCGGGATGGGAGGGGGAGAAACAGCCAGAACAACCCCAAAATCCCAGTGTTTGTCCCTGAGAATGGCTGAGCCTTGCAGCAAGACTGGAATGGGGAGAATCACGTCCCCACGCCCAGGGATTGTCTCAAAYGAGGATTAAACTGGGATTTGCTGCCACAAACCCCTCGTGGGCATGTTCAGCCGTGTTTGAGCTGAGCTCAGGCTGCAGCAGCTCACAGAGATCCAACACCTTCAACTTCCCCATCCTGGGTTTACCCTGCTCAACTGAACTCAGCACTGCCCTTCCCTTCAGGAGAAGGATTTTCCCTTTCTTGGTGTGTTTGGGGAGGGATTTCACTGCTTTGGGGTTTACTGAGGCCATCGGGATCATTCCCAGGCTCAGCACTAAAACTGAGCTCAGGCTCAGCCAGGGCTCCTGCTGGCTCCCCACACCACTGAGAGGAAGAACTCGTGAGTGGGGAGAACTCAGCATTAATTTTCAGGATTTTGGGTGTAGAAACCACACTGATCAGGCCCCTTTAATCARCCTTTCTGGATGATGATTCTGTCATTTATAAATGAGCAGTGAAMRGAGGAAGGAGRARAAAAAAAMMAAATCACAGCTGGATTTGGGGCCAGTCAGACCCAGCTGAGGCCACGTGAACATTYTGTAATAAATCCCTGACCAGAAATCTTCCAACCTCCTCCTTCTACAAAACCCTCGTGGATCAACAGAGCCTTGACCCACATCAGGAACATAAAGATCCAAAAATGCACAGTTYTGTTCCTTAGAAAGGAAATTCCCTTCCATTCTCCAAGCTTTTCAYGATGCCCAAGCCCTGCTCCGAGGCAGAGCAGCTTTTTGCTGTTGTGGCCGTGCTCACCCCACACATGCACCCAGAATCTCCTGAATTCCTGCTTTGGGTGCATAGAGAGCATCACCATCATCATCATCATCATCATCACATCATCATCACATCATCATCATCATCAAATCATTATCATCATCATCATATCATGATCATCATCATCATCATCATCATCATCACATCATCATCATATCATCATCATATTGTCATCATCATGCAGACAGGCAGTGCAGGATGGGGTTGGCAGTCTGGGATGTGCCCCAGGGTTTTGGGATGTGCCCCAGGGTTCTGGGATGCAATTCAACTTTTAAGCCTGGCTTTAGTTTCAGAGATCAGAATGCAACGTGCATACAAAGGGACAGAGAAGTGTGGAGTAATCATGTTCATCCTGTGATCTGGATTTCAAACAGCTTCATTACACAGACTGCAAATCCCATCCAAAAAATCCCAAATTGTGAGGAAGGAGCAGTGCAGGAGGAGAGGGGGACACGGAGAAGAGGCACAGGCAAAGGCCAGCCGGGAACGCCGAATGCTTCTCACCTGGAATCACAGAGATAGTTTTCAAAGCTCGGAGAACTCTGAAAGTTCTCAATGCTGAGACATTCCCAAGGTCCACAAACTCTGTGACATATCTGCAATGAGGGAGGTCACACACAAAGAACACCATGACAAAAACACACACGGAAATCAAAACAACCACTACGGACAAAGCAGTACGGCACTGACAGGGGCCTGCACCCGACACCTAAACACCAACCCGGGGCCGCCTTACCTGGAATTACAGAAATAGTTTTCAAAGCTCTCAGAACCCTGAAAGTGCGCAGAGCTGAAACATTGCCTAGGTTTACAAACTCTGTTATATACCTGCAGAATTAAACCAGAGTTAATGGCACCGTTGGGGTCACCTCCCTTCGTACAAATCCTCTGCTTGCAGGAACAGCTCGAGATCTAAAAACGCTTCAGGAGCGGCATTGAAGGGAGGGAGGAGACAAAACTGCAGGGGCAAAACTCAGCTTAAAGTGCTCTGCACGGACAGAGTTCAGCTCTTGGGGTAGAATTTAAATAAATGTACAGACACTGCGTTTAAATCTCGGGGTAGAATTTAAATAAATGTACAGACAGCATTCAGTTTTCAGGGTAGAATTTAAACAAACACCCAACAAGCTTTTCCACTGTGCTGCCAGTGTGCCCAGGGGCACGGCTGGGTCCCCATCCTCACCTGTGATTGTGGAATCAGGGAATGTCCTGAGCTGGGAGGGGATCAGGGATCACCCAGAGCAGCCCTGGCCCTGCACAGACACCCCAAAATCCCATCCCGTGTCTGGGAGCGCTGTCCAAACCCTCCTGCAGCTCTCGGGGCTGTGCCCATTCCCTGGGCAATGTTTGACCCCTCTCTGCAGGAAGGATTTTCTTCCAATGTCCAACCTCACCCTCCCCTGGAACAGCTCCAAACATTCCCTCCATTCCTGTTCCTGTCCCTGTTGTCCCTGTCCCTGTCCCATCCCTGTCCCTGTCCCATCCCTGTCCCATCCCTGTCCCTGTCCTATCCCTGTCCCTGTCCCTGTCCCATCCCTGTCTCATCCCTGTCCCTGTTGTCCCATCCCTGTCCCTGTCCTATCCCTGTCCCTGTCCCTGTCCCCATCCCTGTCCCATCCCTGTCCCTGTCCCCATCCCCCTGTCCCTGCTCTGAACTCTCTCCAACAGATTTTTTTTATCCCCTGGTGCCCCAACTTCACTCAGCCCTACAAGAACTCGAAACTTTGCCATCTCTGCAGAAATGAAAATATGAAATATTTGAGATTTGGTGCAAATAACCCTGAGCACCCCGGGACAGGGGAAGGTGTCCCTGGCCATGGCTTTAAGGTCCCTCCCAACCCAAACCATTCCCTGATTCCACCATTGGATGGATSATCCCCTCAGCTCAGGGCTCTCAGGTATTTTCGCTTCACTTGGTGTTTTAAGAAAACATCATCATCATCTGCTGCTTTGATTAACATCCTTCATTTTAATTAGCATCCTTCGTTTTTAATTAGCATCCTCCGTTTTTAATCCTTCACCGCTCCAATGTCTGTGAGCCACAGGAAGGTTTGATTCTCCCTTTTTTTGCAAGGGGATAAACCCAGGATACACAGAGGAGAAGAGGCTGAGTAACAGGGTTGTATTTTACTCCAGCTTAGAGAAAACTTCCTCTGTGCTGCGTGGGGAGAAATTGGGTATGAAAAAGCAAAAAAATGCTCAATATTTCAGATTTTTCCTGGTGCAGAAAGGCCTCAAAAATTCAAATAAAAGCCTTAAAAAACTCAAATAATGCCCTTGACCCAAAAAAGATTTTATTTGAGCCTACAGGAAAAGCCTGGCCTCTGGAATGGAAAGGGTTCCAGAAACCATGATGGATTTAGGACATTTATTGCAGATTTAAAGCCGCTGGGATGGAATTTGGTCATTTCTGGAGAAATAGAGGAATCACCAGTTCCCAGCTCAGAATCACAGCAGTTCCACGACTGCTCTGAAGTGAAACTCAAGCCCTGAGGACCTTCACATGGACAACATTCAACTCCTGGAGTGTAATTTAAAGAGTGTCATTTAAATAATTCTATAATTAATTAGTACAAATAATTGCTATAATATAAAAATATTTTTTTCCTCAAATTTCTTTTTCCTTGAATTTCTTTTTCCTCAAATTTTGGCTCGAATTTTTCCTCGAATTTTTTTCCTCGAATTATTTTCTCGATTTTTTTTCCCTGGAATTTCTCTTTCCTCCCCAACCTAAGGCCCCATCCCCAGCACACAAACACTCAGAATTTCTCCACTCACGCCATCATGATGACACTGAAATCCAACCAATTCCACGGGTCCCTCAGGAAGGTGAAGCCATCTATACAGAAACCCCTGGCGATGATTTTCACCAAAGATTCGAAGGTGTAAATCCCAGTGAATGTGTACCTGCCAGGAAAAAATGGCATTTTAGGCATGGAAAAAGAGGATCTCAAGTAATTGTGTCAAAATAAATTTGGAATTTCAAGGCAACAATTGGTACTTACTCCACATTCTTGGACCATTCGGGCGGGTTACTAAAAGTCATGAATACACAGTTGGTCAAAATAGTGCACATAATGATCATGCTAAATACTGTGGGACACAGTCAAGGAGCAAAGGACACGGGTGGCACTTTCACATCCCCAAATGGCACTGACTGCAGTGAAAATCAACCATTTCTGGGCTGCAAATGAGGCCTGGGATGCTTCCAGCAGCCACAGGAAATAAAATTATTTATATTTTAGATATATTTACATTATTTTTTATATTATTTTAATTTTTATATTATATTATTTACATTATTGCGGTATTATCTACACTCTATATACACTTTTTTATACACAGTATTCATTTTAAAATAGATTTTTTCCTATTTTATATTTATATATATTATATATTCTATTATATATACATTTTATAACTGCATAACTATATATAGTTATAAATATAAAATTATAATTACAGATATATAAATATATATCACGATATATATAGTTCTATATAACAGATATTATCCAAAGGCCTTGAGCTGCATCCCAGCACATCCAGGGGCAGGAAAGGCCTCCAGAAATAACACAGAAAACATTCCCAGTCAACTCTGGAAAGATGGAAAAGCTTTTCCTCCATCCGAGATGCAGGAAGGGAGGTTATAGGAGTTCATTTTCTCAAAATAAATAAATAAATAAATAAATAAGCTGAGTCAATAAAGGACATTATTGTTCTCCTCAGAACCATCAGCTCCTTTGCAATGGGACATTTTGGAAGAGCTTTGCCATTAGAAGGATTTTGAGAGATGCCAAAAGGGAGCAAGAAATCAGTCAGTGCCTTGTGGTCCAGATAATAATYCTATTTAATATTTGAGTATTTATTTAACTCTATTTTAATTCATTTTAACCATTTCAGCAGCTCTTAAAGCCTCCTTCAAAAGCACAACCTGAAGTCATATCCATTCCAAAACTCCTCCTGTGTGCACTGAGGGAAAATAAAGAAGTTCCCTTCACTGCATTTAACTAAAGAAATACTTTTTTTATCCAGAAAATCCAATATTTTTTCTAYGTTCTGAAGCCAATCCACATCTCCATGTGCAGGACTGAGCAAAGGTAAGGGATTTTCAATGAATGCACAAAGGTAACTCAGCAAGAAAAAGGATATGAATGTATCAAAATTTTAATAGCTATTCTTCTAAAGAGATTAAAAGGACTTAAAATGTACAAGGCAGGTGTGGCACTAAATCGGAAGAGTGTTTTCCCTCTGTTTAGTACTACAAAGGTCTGCAGAGAAAAAGAGAAAGAGAGAGAGAGAAAAAGAGAGAAAGTTAATGCAGGAAAACCAAGGCAGGAATTGCACAGAACAAACAATTTCCAGGGTAAAAAAACCAGCATTTTACAAGTTTTTGAAGAATGGGGTTTTTTTTTTTGTTGTTTTTTAAAGAATAATCTCCTTTACGAAGCTCCTTTACGGACAGAGGGACTGACAGAGACCCCCAGCCCCACCCACCGTCCCTGATTTTAGGATTTGAGATTTTAGATTTTTGTAACCCTGTAATTTTTTCAGGGGTTAATCCAGACTCCACAGACAGTGCTGAGCTCCTGCTCTCTCATTTTTACACAAAACAAACTCAAGGACACCTCTCTGTGCCAGACCCCAAGGGATGGAAACAACAGAGAATTGGGGGGAGCCAGTTTGGAGTCAATTGGAGGATTCAGCCCCAATGTGCAAATAAAACTGATAAAAGGGTGAAAAACCTGTGAGCCATGGTCCATTTGGGGTGTGGGACTGCCCTGGAAGGACCTGAAGGTCCTGAAAGCAAACACAACTGGGCTTTTTTTATTCTCTGAATTTTGCTCGGCCTCTGCTTTAGTCGAGCCGGATTTTGGGCATCGTCCTCAGTGCTGCACGGAGCCTCAACACAGCCCTGGGGCTTTTCACTCTCGTTTTCCTATGCTTTTGCTGCAGAATGCTGGAGAGGTGAGGTTCATTTCTTTATTTTTGTGCAGAGATTTGTGTGAACATTGGGCAGGATTCTGTGATTCCATCTCCCCGCAGCGGGAGCAGCACGGGGTCTGTGGGTGCCCCACACCAGAGCACCCAAACAGAGGGAAAACAGAGATTTGTGTGTTCTGAGAACCCAAATCCTTTTCCCTGGCACCTTTTATCCCATTTTGAGCCTCCCCAGGATGGTCCCAGAGCACAGCCAGACTCAATCCTGTTTGCACAGCCCCAACCCAAGGGAATCCAGCAGGGCTCTCTGCCAGCTCAGGCTTCCCCAGGAGACTCAGGAAATTTGTCATTTCCATCCTCGTCAATGAAACAACGGCATTTGAGCTCATTTGGCCAAATTAGACCGTGCAGCAGTAAATTATTTGCAAAGGAAATCAAAATCAGATTGCGGTTCGGCACCAGGAGAGGARGGTTCGTTAGCAGAGCCATTAATGCGCCCCCACCAAAAGCACTTTAAAGACAAACCTGGACAGCTTTTAAATTGCAGCATCAAGAATTAATGAGCAGATAACCCTGGCATGGAACAACCTTCTAAAAGGCCCCAAGTTTTGCAAAATTGCCATTACAGAGTGCTCAGGGGACACCCAGTTCTAGGAACCGGCTCTCCCCCTTTTCCTGACACCACAAACTTTCCAGGACTCGCATCCCCTTCCTRCTGAGATCTCTTTGTGCAGCTCTGGAGCAGGACATTGACCCCACCAGGACACTCACCGGGTTTGTGTCCCCAAAACGACACAAATCCCCCAAAGCTCCCACCCTTTTGAGCAGTGAAACCGCCGAGGTGACTGCGCTGAGCACCCACGGACAGGAGGAGCTGGGAGCAAACAGGAATATCCCAAACAAACCCCACTCAGCCATTCCGAGAGGTCTCCATTTCCCACGGGAACAATCCCTGTGCAGGAACCTGCAGCTCAAGGCAGGACTAAAAGCATTTTTCACCTGGAGACACAGGAGGTGCCAAAATCCAAAGGTCAGAGCTGAGCTGGGCCGGGTGGACGGACACAGCAGGGTCAGAACCCTCTGCTCAGGGAGCACTTGGAACTTCCAGCAGGACTGACTCAGAAATTCAACATTCCCTGCTGGAATGGCACAGAATSCCAGAATCCTTGAGGATGGAAAAAACCTCCTGGAGCATCGAGTTCAATTTGTGACCTGAGTGCCACATCCAGTCATTCCTTGGATACCTCCAGGGATGGGGATYCCAAATCTCCCTGGGCAACCTCTCCCAGTGCCTGACCCCCATTTCCATGGAGAAATCTCAGCTGTTTCCTTCCACTGCCCAAACACAAACTMCTTGCTCTCTCAGTCCCTCACTTCCTCGTTTTCTCTCGGTGCTCTGCCCCGATTTCTCCTTTCAGACCATAAAASTGTTGAATTATTCCTGCCTGTAAAGCCCATCATCCTTTCAGTACAACCCTCACACCCACGTGGTGTTTTAATTCCAGTCTGCTCATCGATCATGATGGTTCCCAGATCCACCATTCCCATAAAACCCCGACTAAATCTCCACTCGGTCTCATCAATACAAAGAAGAGCCCAAAAGCCAAGAAGTGCTTGGCAGTTTAAACTCTCTCTTAGTTTTCTGCTCTGCTGCTGACATATTAAAACTCCATTTCAAAATGGCTGCAAGCTCTTAAAACATCCCCTGGATGTGGGCCAAGAACATCCTTAAGAGCTTTTAAGATGTGCTGAGGCAAAGCTCAAARCTCAGAGGAAGGAGCTACCTGGAAAAAGGCATTTTGCAGTCATTTCAAGAGATGGCTGTGTCTGCCTGAACTTCCCAAAGTCTCCCTGTGTTGTCAGAGCTGGGAAAAAACTGCAAAACTCCATCCAGTTTAATTTCCTTCGAGTCATCAGGACCCACCAAACCCTTGGAGACAGGGTCATAGCAAGAAGGAAGATCCCAAAAGATAAATTCCCAAAATCAGCCTGCAAAAACGATGACTGAGCTTTGAGAGCGCGACAGAAACGACCGAGGGACAGCAGGAACCATCCCAGCTCCAGGAAAATTTCAAACATTCCTTTTCCTGCAGGTTTTCCACCCAAATTCTGCTCTGTAATGGCTGAGGGGAGTGGGCAGATCTGGAAGGAAGCAGCTTTGGGAAGAGCTGAGCACAGATGGAGCTGCAGCCCTGCAGCAGGAAAGTGCTGCCAGCCCTGGA